ACCAGCTTTCTCTCTAGTGGTCTTCCTCAGCATTCTTCTTCCTAAATCCATCCAATGATGCACATTTCATTCCACAGAGGGTACATCATCATCACATTGTCTGCAGATGAGCAGGCTCAGGCTTCACTTCTCAGGGCATGCAGAGGGCTGCCTTTAGAGGAGAGGTGTCCTTGGGCACCTAGCTAGGTTCATCGCCATCTTTCTGCCTTGATTTCCCACCAGTTCAAAGGAGGAGTCAAGTTGTCCATCTTATACCCAGAATTCATGTCCAGTATTTATAAATCTCAACTATCAACTGTTAGTGAATCTAAGAAGGAATCCAAGTCCATCTCTCTAGGGTAGCAAGTCCCTCCAAGAAGCAGCTATGATCCTGCTGTCTAATCCCTTAGTAATAGGAATACAATTGCTTCCTCGCCCATCTTATTCCTTCACAGGCTTATGGGATGAACTATCATAGGCACTAATATGTTATTGTACTGTTCCTTCCAGGTGAGGTATTTTCATTTCAGCAAGAAACCTTCAGATATAACTTCACCTAAAATAGCAGGTCTAGTGGAGGGAGATGATTAATTTTTAAATATATTTTTATTGATTTCAGAGAGGAAGGAGAGAGAGAGAAAAATACAAACATCAGCGATGAGAGAGAATCATTAATTGGCTGCCTCCTGCACATTCCCCACTGGGGATCGAGCCTGCAACCCCGGCATATGCCCTGACCCGGAATCGAACCGTGACCTCCTGGTTCATAGGTTGACACTTGATCACCGATCCACCCTGGCTGGACAAGGGAGATGGTTTAGATGCTCTTCCAATCACTTGCCAACTTTGCCTGCATGAAGGACCAAACCTGGTCAAATTCAATCATTTTACGAAGCTTTATCTCTTGTTTTGAAAATTATCATACAGTTATTTCTGAAGTTGGACAAGATAGGACAATGTTGATGCCAAAGCCAAAAGTTGGATGGGATGATGCTTCCATATAACCGGTCACAGTGTTTATGGCTTTTCATCATTGGCCAGGGTTCCTGTACCCCCAGACAACTGTGTGAACAGAGACTTGGTGAATGGCAGCCTCATGTTTATCCCCTCTGAATAGAAGACCCCTCGTGAGATGTTCACTTGAGTGACTGTTATTCTAAACTGAGACATATCTTCTTTTCCAGAAGAAAAGTCATTCATGTCAGCTCCTCACTCTCAGTGCTTTTTTCAAATAGGATTTTTCAAAAGTTAAAATGCTACAGGTTGTGAAGTTTCTGCTTATTTCAAGTTTTGTCTTTAAAATATGTGTTTGGGAAATGGACCTTTACCTAGATTAAAATAAGCCTGACCCTTTTCTATCATGAGCCAATCTTCAGAATTCTCACTAACAAACAGCATTCAAGGATGTTCACTGAACATCATCTGACTTTTCGGGCAAGGGGATGAGATAAAGAAGCATCTAAAGTTTGGATTGACTTTCCCTTCATGCTCTTTCCTGGAACTGATGGGGCCACCCATCCATTCCTCATCAGGACGCTGCTTCTGTCCATGAGCAGTTGTGGGTTTCCCACCTCACTAGTCATCGGTGACTATGCCTCATTCCCCACTCATCCTCAGCACCCTCCATGGCACAGTTAATGCCAGTTCTATAAAAGGAGTGGGAAAACTGTCTTTCTTGGGAATTTGCTAATGCATTTGATATCTAGATCTCAGAGTCCATTGCAGAATACAGAGCTCCCCCTGTTCCACTCGCAACAATCATTGTCTTCACACTCTCACCAGCACCCTCTCTTCAACTACAGTCCAGGACCAAGAGAAGCTCACATAATTCTTTCTTATATACAAACCTCCTCAAAAGACCACCCATTGACAAGTAATTGAGCAACTTCTTTGCTGTTTAAACCCATTAAAAAGTGAAACATATATCTTTGGGATGTGATCAGGCCTGTGGCACTTGGTAGGTCTTTACTGAATGGCATTGAATGATTGAATTGGACAAAGGGGCAAGTAGATCCACAGTTGCTTTCTACCTGCAAGTGTCTCGGTTGTAAGTGGCGATGGAGCCTTTGAACCTAATACAGGTGGGGGAGGGTCCAGTCAGGTGGCTGTTGGGTGGGGGTGAAGGAGGACACCAATGCTATGGTTTGATTTTAGCAGTTACACTGGAGCCTGTTCAATGGCACCTCCCACAGAAGTCAGCAGGGATGCATGGTGACCCCTCCCTGGAAGCTCTCTCCTCAGAGCCACTAACCAGACACACCAGTGTAGACTGAAGCCTCTGCGGCAGTAATTCCTTCTCCCCAATGTCTGTCATTTGTTTTGTGTCATTAGTTCACGTGATTTGGGGTTTTGGTTCTATTTTATTATGTGTTATTATTTGTTTTGGTTTATTGATTTTTACAATTTTCAGTTTATTTTTGGAGATGAAATGGATGTTCTTTGTGAAAGCTGAGTTCTTTGTTTCTTTCTTTTGCCCGTGGCTGACTGCATGCTCACTATTGATGTCTTGTTCCTGGTTCTTGAAAATGACCATCTTGTCTGTGAAAGGAGGAGCTGCAGCAGGCTTGCTTGATCAGAAGAAAGGGAAGTTTGCTTGGTTTAGTCACTCCACAGAAACCCATGGTAACGTTCCCTGTGCTCTGTGTGTTAATGTGTGTTGCTACATACCAGACTGGATGGGAGGGTATTTTTCTTGATGGCTTGTGATGCTGTGATCGTGTGTGTTTATATGTGTGTGTATATATTTGTATGTATGTTTGTGTTTTTGTAAGGGGGTGGTAATCTGTCTCACTCACAGCCACTGCCTTGTCATCTCTTTGTATAAAGTCAGCAGACGTAATAGTCAGCAGCTAGTCCTTGATGGAATCTTTCCTTTGGGTAGTGCCAGCCAAGATTAAGATCACTGTAAATGTAATCTTGGTACTGGTACAGGCAGTGCCTTGATTTAGAAGATAATATGGTTCCTCCTAATGCTCAGGCCTGCCTACTCCTAATTTGGTTGTCTTTCCATGCCCAGCACCACCACCATCACACCACTCCACACCTAAGGGGCACTCTGGGAGCAGCATGTCATGGAAAGTCAGAGAGCTTTCTGTACACAGCTCAGCTCTTTAAATAACGATGTTGGAAGAATTAAAGGGACCTCGGCCAGAAATCGCTGGAGAGAGATGGATTAAAAGACTGAAAGCTCTTCTATTATATTACTTCTTCATTAATGTGGATGGAATAAGGAATTCTGAAAGTCTTACCTTCCCAGTTCCCAGGGCTAAAACCATCCCTAAGGTCTGGTCTTGCTCCCCAGCTCCCTCAGACCTTGGGCTGCAAGGAGAGTGTAAGTGCTGTAAAATTCAACACTGTCCTTGGGCTATTCACCGTGTTCTGGTGATGTCCCCGCAGCCTGATTTGGCTTAAGAACCTCATCTGGTCCTAGAGTGTAGGAAAGGGAGTTGGTCAACATGGGGACAATCTAATGACCATGGTACAGAGGGTCCTGACGCTTGTGCTCCAATCCAAATTCCACCCCAAACTCTGTGTGACCTTGGGCATCTGTCCCTTGCTTAGACCTCGTTTTCCTGTCCTGTGAGGTGAAGGGGACAAGTTAGAGCTAGATAATGTCTAAAGTCCCATCCAGCTCCAAGTGTCTATAAAATGGCATCTAGATTTCTTATTACCCAACTTTATTGAAAATGACCCAAAGGTGGACAGGTTGCTCAGATGTGACAGTCAAACACATGGTAAGTCTTGGGCTTTCTCTTTGTATCTTCGGTGTTCTTGAAATGAGTCTCTTCCCACTCGCCCATCTTGTGTTCATCCACAAGAGAAGAAACTGGGGAAATCCATATAACCAGTAGAAGTCTTTTCCTGGGCTGTGGTGGCCCCATGGGGACTTGTCACATGGTGCCACATCACCTGACGCCACACCCTCACTAATGTAGATTCTCTGGCTGCTGAGGGCTAGTGGTTTTCTCCCCACATGAGGAGTTGTGTTCTGCAAGGAGAGCTGAACCAGGGCCCATGCTGTGAACAAAGGTTGGCACAAATAAGGAACTCACTGATATGTCATATTAAAAGGGTAATAGAAGGTAGAAAATAAATCTCTTGAATTAAATTCTTACTTGGAATCAAAAATAATAATAAAAGAAATGGCTTCTTCTAAGCCATCAAATGTGCTCCAAGGAGAAAACTCCTTCTGGTTTCAAAGCTCAGCCCTTGCCACCTCAGGGAGAGACTGGAGATGGCCAGCAGGTCAGCGCCAGTGGAAGTAGGTGGTTTATATCCCAGGTCAGCCTGTGGAGGTGGGAATGTCCCGGCTGCTGGAAGGGAGACTGCGTGCCTGCAGTCGAGCGTCAGGCCACAGTAAACTCGGTGTGGGACTCCTCCTTCCTGCGGGCTGCAGTGCCTGTGTGCACCTCAGTGCATGGTCCCCGCAGGCTCTAGGCAGCAGGTACTGTCCCAGACGTAACAGACTCAGGACCCCGTATGCACAACAGAAAGGAGGCTTTCCGCTAAATCCATCTAGTAGTTCATGCAGGCGGTGGAGATGCCTTTTCTACAAATAAGCAGGACCCTATGTTTGGGGATGGAGCCCCTGAGAATGGGTGGGAAAAGGTAAGAGAAATAAAATATTTTCCGGAAAGATCCCCTTTTTATGGCAAGTAGTGGATACAAATGGACAAGCTTACACAGCTTCTCTGAGGGTGTAGAGTTGAGGGTGGAGAAAGGTCCAATGGTGAGTGTTTTGACTATGTCTCCTATAGGGTAAATGATCCGATCGCCAGGTTCCCTTCCACATTCCACGACCTACCCTAGATAAGTAGCAGGCATGTCACTCCCTCATGGAAATCCTGGACCTGGCCAGGGCAGTGCAGGGCCTCAGCCTGCTCCCAGCAGCACCCCCACCCTCACCAGCGGGTGCTGTAGGCTACCCTCCTCCTGAGACTGGGGTACTGCACACTAATGCTCTTCTCTCCCCTTCTCCTCCCACCCTCATGCCTTGTTCTGCATCCCTTTGACTCTTGCAGTGAGCATGCCCACAAGTGAGACGGAGTCTGTCAACACTGAGAACGTGGCTGGTGGTGACATCGAGGGAGAAAACTGTGGGGCCAGGCTGGCGTGAGTAGGCACTTCCAGCGAGCACAGGGGCTGGGCTTTTCTGAGGGTGGGTAGGGAAGCTATGTCCTTAAGTCAGAATGGGGAGGGAGAAGCTCATTACTGCAGGGGGTGAGGCTGGGGGAGAGGGCAGAGGTCAGAGCACAGCAGGAAACAAAAACCTGCTCAGGGAGCCAGAGCAGAGGGCTGGGGTGAGTATAGCCCTAGGCTGGTATTGAGTCTTAAATTGAGACCACTCCTCAATTGGATATTGAGCTCCTTTCCATCACATCAGAGAAATACAGAGAGTGTGAGGGGTTGAGGGTGGCTCTGAAGCTTCTCTCTTCCCAGCCCCTCTCACCCCTTTCACAAGAGACGGCTGTGTTAGGCCCCTGGGTGCCGTTCACCTCTCTTTCCTTCTGATAAAAGTGACCTGGAAGGAAAGCATGAGAAAATACACGGGGAGATGATAAGCATGGTCCATGTCGGCATCTCCAGGTTATCCATCTAGTGAAGGGAAGCAAACTGTAGTTCATAACTCACCTGTGCTCAGCCTGGACTACACTGGCTCCGCTAACACGAGCCCCAGCCTGTATGTCCAGGACTTCCCTCCCCTGGTCAAGCCCAGGCCCTGGCTTCCAGAGCAGACTTTGACCTGGGATGGAGCAGAGCCAGGTGTGAGGGGAACAGCTCGCAGGTGGATTATTGCCATCACCCATCTTAGTTCACTCTTTAAAATGGAAACCGGTAGTCCCTGGGTAATGTGCCCCTCAACAAAAAAAAAAGAAGAAGAAGAAGAAGGGAAAAATGGTTTACCTGCTAAAAACAAGTAAACTGCTGGCTTCATTACCAGTGTCTTAGAAAGCGGAGTTCAAAGGATAAAGGCTGCAGGGTCGCAGTGACCGTGAGCACAAGGCCTCCTCTGGGCAGAAGGGGCTCCACTGTGGGAAGTGGGGACGCTTCCTCCTGCCTGGGAGGCATAGGAACTGTCAGCTCCGCTGGACACTGAAAGGCACCGAGAGAAGGCACTGAGGAGGACCTGCCTCAGATGAAACCACTCCATCACCCTTCCTCTCTGAAGTGGCGCAATGGTCTGGGTGAACCCATTCTTTTTAAGAAGTTAGTGAGTCTAAACGTAAGAATGACCCCTGAGCCAAAGGAAAAAGGACTCAAGGCCCAGGCACAAGCCAGCCCTGTGACCTCCGTCTCTGCACTGCAGGTTTCTCAGCATTGCTGGGGAGCACTCTCATCCAAATGTTGTTAAATATGGTGCTAATTATGTTTTAAGCGGCAATCCAAGCCTTTTTTCCTTCTCTTCTTTTGGAACCATACAAAACAAGCAATTGCATTTCTCAGTCAGCCACACTAGAGCAAGGCAGAGAGCAAGCCTTCGGAGTCCCTCAGTGCTAGGCCTTTCTGAGGTCTTGACCCCAAGGGAGCGGAGAGAAGGTTAAGGACCCTGCAACTCTAGATTTGGGCATGGCCCAGGCACAGGGGCCAGGAGGGACGGGGACTGGCAGCAGGAGGCCACTGGAGAGCTGAGCTCTGTTGGAAGAACACGATGCCCCCCACAGAGAGAGCTGGCAGTCCCTCCGGTGCAGCTGTCATTGCCTTGAGGACAGGCTCTGCAGCCTTCAAGAGCTCTGTAGAAATGGTCCACATTCATATACCTACGCTGTGCATATAAAATATCTGGTCACGGTGCCAGAATTATAACATGTACTTAATAAATTATGGTCTTTCCCCATCTCTCACCTTCCCCCCTCAGACAATGATGGGAGGAGACTTCCTGGTGGGAGAGGTAGCGTGAGGACAGGCCAGGGCCTGAGAGTGGGTGGTGGTGAGGAGGCAGTGAGAGGCTAGTTGTGAAGGAAGATGAGGTCTGGGTAAGGATTTATATGTTAGTGAGAGGCTGGGATGAAAATGGCTCCTGTGGGGCAGCGGCAGAGAGAAAGGACCTGCAATGTGATATTTGGGGGGAGAAGGAAGGAGGGAGGATAAGTGTGCAGAGGAAGGAGCCATCGAAGTTTGGAGGCAGAACATGATAAGGATGCTGAAGTGCCCTGTGAAGCAGGCCAAGCCAAGGGACCACGCAGGCAGCAGGATGTGGAGGTCCGAGGTCCAGTTCTGGCTCTGGGCAGGGAGGAGTCACACGTTTGAGGTTATCAGGATAAAAACTATTCCGAGGTCATAGGCCAGGGTTGTTCTTAGGAAAATGGAGGCAGAACCTTGAGACACAGACACATAGAAGAATAAGAACAAGTAAATGAAACAGGTGAAGTAGTGTTAGGGGTACAGATCTCAGCAGTCGCTTGGAAACCACTGGAGGAAGAATTTCAAGACACAGCCATCCATCTGTACACTCAGTCAGTAGTGTGCCCGGTGTGGAGCTAGCGATGGTGACGCATAGCAGTCAGTAGAGCAAATTGACACCCTCTCACTAGAGCTCATAACCTGGTGTGAAGTTGACATAAGTAAATAAGTCGTTAAAATTGGGGTAAGTGTTAAGAAGGAAGAATAGCTGAAGTATGCGCTTAATGACAGGGATGGACTTGACTTAGACTGGCAGGTTGGGAACAGCTGCTGGGGAGAAATAAAATTTCAGCTCCGAACTGAAGGGTTGAAGAATAGTACATTACTGAGGTGAAGAGTGTGGAAGAATGTTCCAGTCAGAGGCAACAGTGCATGTCAAGGCCCTGGAGTGGAAGAACTGAGAGAAGGCCAGCTTGGACAGTGCAGCCTGAGTGAAGACAGAGACGAGGCTGGAGATGGGCCTGAGTGACCCCTTGATGGCCTTGGTCTTTGTCATAAGACTGTGAGAAGTCATGGGATGAGGAGCTGGTTGATTTGGTTAGTTTTGCATTCTTGACAGACCACTTTAGAAAAGAAAGTTTAGGGGCGGGGCCAATGGGGAAGCAGTACACGTGGGCGGAGGCCTCCCTGGCAGTTACCCACAGGTGAGATGATGGAGGTGCAGGCTAGAGTCACGTGTGGGGATGGAAAGGGGTGGAGGACTCTGTGCTCTGTGCGGTGGGAGCTGAGTCTCAGAGTGGAGAGGGGGTGGAAATGAGCCAGCACAAGGAGTTGACTCCACCAGTGGGGCCATGGAAAGGAGAGAGGAGAGTAGGATCCTAGAAAGAGGGGGCTGGTTTCATCATAGTAAAGAGATGATCTTTAAGGCAAAAAAAGAAGTCTGTGAAAATGGAGGGGCTAAAGGCTCTGGGATGGAAATGGGAGTGCCTACGAAGGAACTACTTAAGAAGAGGGAGTGGACTTCAAAGACAGTTTGAGACACTGGATTCACACAGGAAGAAGGAGCTCCGTTACCTCTGGGACTCACCAGGAGATGGGAGAAGAGACCTTTCGTCAGGAGTCCTGCAGTCCAGCACTGACCCGCCCTGGACCTCAGCTGGCACTTGTGCTCTGAGTCTTGGTCTCCTCCTCTAGGGAAGGAAGGGCTGGCCTGATGGTGCCTCAGGTGCTCTCAGCAGAGGCCAGGGGTCCTGGGAACCGCTGCAGGGCTGGGACAGGAGACCACTTTCACCTCTTTCACATATTGGGCTTCCATGTAAGATTTCTGGAATAAAACACCCTGTAACTTGGTATTTGTGGACCATCGATCCAGCTCTCAAAGCCAACAGTTCTATAAAGAATATAGAACCAGAAACAGGCTCTGCTGAAGATACGATAGGAGTCATAGCAAATGATCTGTCAGCTCCTCCCAGAGGAGGGTTAGGTGTCCTAGGGACCTGCAGGACAGGAGATTCAAACTAGTGAGTCACCAGGACATCGCAAACAGCTTGCTGAGCAGTGCGAATCCGAATCCACAGTGGAGCCTGACATCGTAAATGTGCAATTGGCCTGCAGAACTATGTGACATGGTTTTTGGTAGGCTCTTTGGCCTGAGGGCAGCACTAAAAACACGACAGTGGTGTGAACCAGGGTGGGGTTTGCCAAGCAGACCCAGCAGAAGGCCCAGGCAGTGGGGAGTCTGTGTGGTGTGGAGGGCAGCCCTGACATGACCATGGGGCCAAGCTGAGAACTGGAGGTGACGTGTGCATTGGCCTGGGAGCCCTGGAAGAGTGAGTGGTTGGGAAGATCCAGTGAGGGCCAAGTGGGTTCAGTGAAAGAGCAAGAGGGCTAATAGAGAAGGAGACTCTGGCCAGGGGTGGGGAGCAACTGCCTTCAGTACCTAGTAGCTCCAGTGCTAACAGCCATGGGAGGTGTTGCAGCGATAGAGATGAGGAGGCAGTCAGATGTGTGTCAGCCTGGATGGTGACTCCAGTGCCCTCTGATTTATGTTAAAGGCAAATTGGGACAATTCTGGCAAATGCTACTTCACACAACAGGGAGTAAACATATGGTGCTCATTACTCTAAGAAGGGGAGAGAAGCTGAAAATATAAATGGCTCCCAAGAAGTTCAAATATTTGTCAAATAATGACAAGTGCAAATTGAGTAACGAAGCAAAACAAAAAGAGTTTTGGGGTTTTCTCTAGTTTTGAACTTCAATATCAAAGAAAATCATAGTTTCCTAGAAGGTTTGTCTTGGAGGCCTAGGCAGAAAAAAATATCTTGGATTAGATGTACCCCAGGTCCAATCCATTGGAACTGTTCTGATGGTCTTATGTGTTAAATTCTAACTTTCCTCATCTCCCTGCTCTTTAAGAATCCACTTAAAACACTAGATAGGGTTTTTAGGATAGGATGGGGTGGCATGGCATGGGATGGCATGGGATGGCATAGAATAGAATAGAATAGAATAGAATAGAATAGAATAGAATAGAATAGAATAGAATAGAATGATAGAAAAAGCCATCAAGCTTATGAACAAGCTGTGTGCGCCTTATTGGGGTTTGGAGAAGCTGGAGGCTCTACTGTTCATTAGAAGGAAGCATTTGCCACACGTGAAACAGCCCAGGGTATGGAGCGGTGCACCCACCTAGTCCCACCTGGCTTACTCACACAGGGGACCAGTGCGAGCAGTTTTCCAAACCCTAAGCCGGTGGTTACCTCCCAGGAGGTGAAAGGCTGCAGAGCGATGGGGTCCCTCTGTTTTTGTGGAGCGGGCCCCACTGTCCTCTCACACCTGTCAGGGAGAATGGAGGCATCAATGCACTTGGGCTTTACAAGACTTCTAACCTCAGCTCTCCAAGGGCTGGGTTTCCTGGGTCTCAGACACATGCCACTTGAACAGCACTCTCCCCTTCCCAAGTACAAACACTTAAGTAATATGGTGCTTAGAAGGGGATGAATGTTCCAGACTCAGAAAGCCTGAAATTAAGCTTACAATCCCCTGAAACAGCAACAACACGAAAATCAGTCTCAAAGTGTGGTCCAGGGTTATACATCAGAACATGCAACTAAGTGGAAAAGAAAGTCCTGCTCCCTTTCCTCCTCCTCAGAATGTGCCAGAATGCCATGTGAGGACCCATAGCTGATGGCCATGCCTAAACTCAGGCCAGGCCCTCATTTCAAAGTCACCCAGCACCAATCCTTCCCTCTGTCCACTTCCCAGAGTCACTTCTTTGGAAGATGTGAACATTCAGATTTCGGTTTCCATATATGTTGGATTTAAGAACCCAATTTTCTTCTGACTCCCTTGGACTGCAAGAGAGAGCCTTGTGGGGAAGGGGCTGTGGTCTGCACTGACGGGCACTGCAGAGAGGGTCATGGAGACGTTTCAGAAAGAACGCCGAGGGCTGACCAAGCTCTATGGACAAAGCCTCGGAGATCATGGTCATCTGCATTGGCTTCTGCAAGAGTGAGAACTGCCCGAAGGTGCCATGCTCAGCCCAGCCCTGCTGGAGAACAGAGCACCCTGGACTCCCTGCCACCCAATTAGCACCTGGAAAACATTTGTTTCCCCATTAAACTGTGACTCTAAATAAAATGCTGCCCGGCTCCCTCTCCCCCTCCCACATGCTTTGTTAACATGTGATTAAACCCTCCAGCCCTGGCAGGCAGTCTTTGGAGGCGGGAAAAGGTTATTAGCTAACGGTTCAGAGCAGTAAAGGCACTTGGCTCAGATTCTCAGTGCCCCAGAGATATAATTATCTCATGCTCGATGGCTTTGCCACCTGCCACATCTTCTGGTTTAATTTTTTTAAATAAAAAACAATGAGAGGGGTTGTTTTCTTGCTATGCAACAGAGCTTGCTTTGTGCTGAGCTGGATGACACAGGCTTGCAGCAGTCGCCTCTCAAGTCCCTGCTCCTGTTTTCTCTTGGCATCTCTTTGTCTCTACTGTTCTCTCCATCCCTTTTGCCACCTCTAACTTGGATGATTTTGTATCTCTCTGTGCATCCACCTGCAAGCTCTCCAGTGTTTACTCCCTGGACACCAAGCCTTTCTGACCCACTGCCTTCAAGTTTCTGTCTCAAGTTTTCTCTCTCTCTCTCTCTCTCTCTCTCTCGCTCTCTCTCTCTCTCTCTCCATATATTTATCTCCCTTCCTTCCTCTCTTCTTTCCTCTATCTCTCTATCTTCTCCCATCTTGCCTCCGTCCAGCTCCCCTGGACTCTCCTATGTGAACTAGGTGGTCTCAGGGCCTCCTTGAAGGTTCACCTTTCAATGGACCCGCCCCATACAGTGACCCTTCGAATCAGCCAGCAGCACACCTGCCCAGTGCTCCTGCCCAGAGTCCCCCAGGGCTTCCGGGCTGCACCTGGCTGCCAGCATGCTGGCTTTCTCCTCAGGACCCATGGCTTCCTTCAGGCCCAGGTAGCTGCCCTCACCAGGACTGTAGTGCCTTTCAGTGCCCAGCTGGCTCTTGTGCTCATCTTCACTTCATAGCCAGCGTTGGCCAGGCTCCTGTTCAGACGGCAGTGGGGTCTCCCCGATGTGTTTCTGCCACGGCCTCTGGCTGGTGAGACCCTCCACCTGCTGGAGAGACCTCCCTGTCCTGTACGGCCTTTCCCAAGGTGCCTCCCTGTCCTGTACGGCTCTTCCCAAGGCACCTCCCTGTCCTGTATGGCTCTTCCCAAGGTGCTTCCCTGTCCTCTATGGCACTTCTCAAGGTGCAGCTTCCTAACACGCTGCCTAACCTGACCTCATCGTACTTCGTGGTAGATGCTGGTTATCTGAGAGCACCGGGCTCTCCCGCTCCACTCAGAAGACACTGGATTTGTAGACTTGTCAGTGGGACAGGCCTCAGTCTCCACATTGAAACACACAAGCACACCAGAAGATGCTGACAAATAGGTTCTCTCTTCAGAGTTGTTCTAAGTCACACCACACATCCATCCGGTGCCCACAGATAGTCAGCAGGGGACATCGACTTCCCTGGCATGGCTGAACACCTTTGAAATGGAAGGGAACATGTGTCATCTGCTAACATCCCCCTTTTCTCTTTCAGCCACCGGATCTCCAAGTCAAAGTTCAGGTAAGTGCAGGACATGCTGCTCTTCCTTCCCTCTGCCGCCAGCTCTATCCAGTGCCCTTCCAGGAGGGTGGAAGAGTGGGGGGTGTTCTTCAAAGGGGGAACTGCCCTCTTTTGTATGGCTAGATTTAAAGAAGAGGTTTGGGGGTTATAGCAAGCAAATAATCCAGGGGTTGATACGTGTTGAATTATCTTTATCCATCAATCTTTTGGGCAGCACCATCCCAAGGCGGCTGTGAGGCCTAGTGTGCCCCCTCCCTTATAAGATGAAGTCCAGTTAAAATCACTGCCACGTGGTTGTTTGCTGCTGCTCTGATGCTTCATGTCCGTGGGCCACAGTGAGATATGAGCGTCAAGGGTTTGGGAAGCACACAGGATCACCACGCGGCTGGGCTCCGAACTTTCCACAGAGGCTATGGTCTTCAGCCCCCTCTGCCTTTCCAGTCTCACCTTCCTCACTCCCCTGCACATACCCTTTGTTCCAACCCATGGAACTTGCATTTACTGGAATGTTCCCTGTCCTCTCGTACATCAGGGCCTTTGCCTGGAGCCTCTCTTCTACCTGATTCACTGTGTCCCCATGTCTTCATTTGGAGAACTCAGACTTTTGTTAAGAGCCTCAAATGTCACAAACTGCAAAAATGTCTGCAAACTCCCCAGGGGAAGTTATCCGCCTCCCTCCATTCCCATAGTGCTTTGCTCATAACTCTATCACAGCACTTACCATACTACACACCAGTTATTGGCTCACATGCCTGTTGCCTTCAATAGATTCTGCATGCTCCAGAGGTATTAGTTCCAGAGAGTATAGCTGAGTGCCAGCCCAGTGGTAGGCTGTTCGCACATGTGTATACTAAGGTTTCCACTACAGATGCAAGAAAAATGTGTCCGCTCTTTCTGGTGTCGGATTGTGGCAGCCAAGACTGAATGGAAGAATATAGGAGAAGAGCAAGGAAATACAGGGGGGAAATGGAGAGCGAACTTTTGCAACTTAGAAGTAACCTTATAGACAGTGAAGAGCCTGTTTTACTCAAAAAAAAATCTCTAAAATTTGAGTTTTAAAAAAATCAAAGCATTCCTGATCATTTACTCAGTTTAGCAATGACAAATAATGGAAGTTGAGCTTAAAAACTGGCCTACTCTATTTGCAAAACTGAATATACAAAGTTACAGTTTATTTAAAAGAAATATTAGAGCAGAGCTTTTAGGAAAAATTCTGCAAATTTAATGACTTATAGTATTAGAATTAGTTACAATGAGGAACTTTGCAACATTTGGGGCTTCCTGTTCAGAAGAGGATTTAAACAGTGATGGAACAAATGATTCACAAAGTCTTATGCAACCTGAAGAGATTAATCAGATAACCTGTTGGAGCTTCCAGACCTCCACTTTATAGAGTTCTGAAGTGGGTCCCATGGAGTTTCTAGAATTTTGGAGGACTATCTGCCCCATGTTCAGTGAAATGTGCCTCCAATGTTCCCTTTACTTCTTCTGTCCCATAAGCAACAAGGCACCCGTATTTGCCCCCATCTCTAATAGTCTATTTTTAAGTTACTTAGATATAAAATAATTAAATTTAATGATTTTCTATGTTGCTTGTTCTCAGTTCTGTAGCCACTAGAAAGAGCCTGAAGTGTCCATCATTTTGATGTTGTCTAATATTCTAGATGACTGTCAAAAATTATGTGCCAAGCAAACTCTCAGGAGCACGGCCCTCTCCTCACACCCTCCCTCTTCCCTGGGTCTCAAGAGCCCCGAGGCCCAAAGTTTGTCTCCAAGGAGCTTGTCTCCAGCCTGTAAGAGCTCGTGAAATGGACGGCATGTACTGTGAGTCGACAACAAAGTGCAAGACAGTCCCTTCCCCTAATTGGAGATACGTGCAGTGCCAGATAACTGGGAAGGCATTTCCTCTGGGAACCATTTCTGGCTCCTCTGTGACTGGCTAGGGTGCCCGTGTATGTGCTCTGCTGACCCACCTTGGCACTGATCATGCTCTGCGATTGCTTGCTGAGTGGTCTGCGCACCACGTGGGTTTTATGCAGACAGAGGCTATGTCTGTCGTGCTAACTGTTGAATATCTAGTACCTGGCCCACATAGGTGTTCAGTAAGTACTTCTTGAATATATAACTAAACAATGATGCTGACTATGAGTCTGACAGGAGTTCTAAGCCTGGGAAGACTAGAAAAGTACTCCAGGGAGAAGCTGGGATGGATAGGACATAGAAGGGGAGGGTCTGACAGTGGGGGGACAGTCCATGTAGAAAGGCAAGCGCAGGGTCCATATTGGGAAGAGGTGAGGAGGATCTGAGGTGAGTGAGCAGAAATTTCCTAGGGGAAGCAGTGGAGTAGAAGTGGATTAGACACAGTCATATCTATCCTTCTCTCCCAGGTCTACATGGGAAAGTTCTATTTCTAGAGAAAATGACTTTCCCAGTTAGTGTGAAGGGAACTAAACAGCAGGCACATTTCTCCTCCCTGTTTTATCATTTAATTTCTATATCCTCCATGCATATGTAAACACAAATAAATTCACACATTCTAATAAACCATTGCATTTATTATACAGTAGGAAGTGTTGCCAGGAAACCAGTTGTCAGGCAAAGCTATATTTTGAAGAGTGGGAGGTGTATAATTATCTTTAAATACTTTCTCGGGGTAGTAATTACCCCATCCCCACCCTAGTTCAAATCCACGTGACTCTCGTGAATGGCTGTGCAGGATAACAGCACGACTTAGGGATACCACCTGTCCGTGACAGCCTCTCCTTCAGGGGTTCGAGCAGAGCAGTTCCAGACCTGTGGACAGGCCTGACCATGTCACCCCCGCAGCCACTAACCACAAACCCCAGGGAAAGAGGAGCTTAATCTAAGTTCTCGGCATAAACTGACTTCGAGTCGGCTCCTAACACGTAAAAGAAAGCAAACTTGATTCCTTTGGACTCTGAATACAAGCATCAGTGACTTCTGTAACATGACATTGTATCTAAAACATTTTTTGAAACTACAGTGTAAGCTATTTAAGATCCGATATGACTGTCCTGAAAATTCATTTCTCATGAAAAAAAAATTGTGTTACCAAATTTCTCTACAATATTAATAACCATAATAATAGAAGAATCAGAGTCCTGCCCAGGCGAGAAAGACTCCTCTGTACCGAGGTCTGGCCACCTCCAAAAGTCGCAGCTCACTAAGGACCAACCACCAGGGACTCAGTCCCCTTCCTGTACCCTTTTGTTCACCCTCTCGTATCCTCACGCTTACCCAGGGTAGTAAGTGCATCTGGAAACTATAATTTTCTGACCTGAGGTATTTCTTCTCTGTGTAGTGACTTTTCCTTAGGTAGCAGGTAAGTGTCCCCCACAAAGGTGTGGTGCTCACTGGAGAGGGCATTCCAGCACCCACAGTGATAATAGGGCCAGATCAGAACATGACCTAGTGAACCCTCCCTGCTCTTCCCTCCCTGCTCTGCAAGCCAAAATACCAGGTTCTCCCTGTGGTTCTGAGGAAACCACACCCTTCCCAGATGTACGTCCCACTAGTCTCGTTGCACCAGTGTTTGGTAAAGGGATTATCCAGGGACAGTAGGTAGAAGTAATCTGGGATGAGTGAAGGGATCATAAACAGCAGACGTCTCCCTCCCTGGAAACCTAGAATACAGATGTGAGTACAGATGTTCATGGACATTACTCCACAATTCTGCTCTGTTTCTCACCTGCCTTCTTTATTACCCAAACCATCTTCATTTCTCCCCATCTTCAACTGCCCGCTGGGTTTCTCCACAGGACCTGCCAGCCCCTCAAATGGATTTCCTGAGCTGAGCTCCCCAAGCTCCGTATGGGTACCTTACCAGTTAGACGAACCACTCTTCCCAGTCACCCCAGCTAGAAATTTCCACTCTCCCTTGCATACCTTTCTCCATCCCTTTCTCTCTTACCCTGCACATCCAGGCAGGCTCAAAGGCCTATTGGTTTTGCCTCCAAAATTGGTATCAATTCAGTGTCCTCTTCTCCATGAATAAAGCTACTGCCTTCCTCCTCTTCAACCTGGATGGCCGAGAGAGCATTCTTCATACTGTTCCTCGAGTAGAAGTTGACAGAGTGGTTGTTTGTGTTGGTTGTTTTATTTTCAAATCAAACCTCATCATATCATTCTCCCTCTCGAAGTCCTTAGTGCGGCCCTCTGTGTGGCCTCCCAGGCATCCTCTGCCTTCTGTCCTTTGCAGCACAGGAACTTGTTTCAGTGTTTGGTCAGCAGGGTTACACATCCAGCCGCATATTTTCTCTGCATTGCAAGGATGAAATTAGGGGTATGCTTTAAACATGCCACCATAGAATTACGAGATGTGACTTGTTTTCTTGGGTTCATCTAGCGTAGTGGTTCTCGGTCATGCTTACACAGTAGAATCATGTGGGGAAATCTGAATTTCATAGCCACCTCCCTCACACTCTTCTCTCCCCCCCCCCCACCCCTTTCCAGTCGCTACTGGCGCCGGTGGAATCGGTTCTGCCGAAGGAAGTGTCGTGCCGCAGTCAAGTCCAATGTCTTCTACTGGCTCGTGATTTTCCTGGTGTTCCTCAACACGCTCACCATTGCCTCGGAGCATTACAACCAGCCGCACTGGCTCACAGAAGTCCAAGGTGAGAGGCAGCCCCTGGCGCTGTCCTAGTTTACTCTAGCACAAGCATGTCAAACTCAAAGGCTAACGCGGGCCAAATAAACAGCATGCGGCCCACGGGCCACAAGTTTGACATGCTTGAGTCCCAGGGAGTGAGCCCTCACATGCAGAAGGTGGACAGGAAAGCATCCATGGCTGTGGCTCTTGGCAGGTACCATGCTGGAGACACCAAGAGCCTGGCAGCTTGAAAGTCCCACAGTAAAATGCACACCTCATCGTAAACAAGCTGGCTCACCTGTCTGGGTCCATGCCATCTGCCTGCCCCAATAGTCATTGTTGGGCCCAGTGACATGGACACGTGCTGCACCTAGTTTGGCTCTCTCAGACCCTTGGCCGCTGACTTCCCAGAAGGGGTTTTCAATCCTTTAGCTTTCCTGTTGCCTCCAGGTATACGTGGCGGTAAGTCCAGGTGGGCTGCAGACGTGAGGATGAGGTGAGCAAAAAAGCAGGGGGGAGGGCAGCTGTGGCCTGAACACGGGGAGCCTCCTCGGCAGGTAGTTAGTGTCCAGGCCCTTCCCCGAAGTGACCCCTCACTGGCCACTCAGCACCACCCCAGGCATCAGGCAGACACAGGGGTGCACTCCAGACTCAGATGGCCTGGCTTCGCCTCTTGGCTTATTGGTTTGGGTTGAGTATTCATCTCTCTGAGCCTCACTTCTTATATCTGGAAAATGGGCAATAATACTTACCTCTCAGAGCTGCTGTAAGGAGAAAGAAAATAAGGCTGCAAAGCTTTTGTAGTAGATATAATAGCCCCACACACACACACACTTATTCTCAGTTTCACTTTCTAAGATTTCAGTTACCTGTGGTCAATCATGATCTGAAAATATTAAATGGAAAATTCCAAAAATAATTGTGGCTCGGTGGTTAGAGCATCACCCCATGCACTGAAGGATCGCAGGTTTGATTTCTGGTCAAGGACAGGTATCTGGGTTGCAGGTTGGATCCCCAGCCCAAGTCATAGCATGTGTGGGAGTCAACCAATCAATGTGTCTCTCTCACAATGATGTTTCTCTCTCTTTCTCCCCCCCCCCACTACCCCCTCCTTCCCTTCCACTCTCTATAAAAATCAATGGAAAAATATCCTCAGGTATAGAGTAACAAAAATAAATAAATAATAAAATTGCACATTGTTCTGAATAGTATGGTGAAGCCTCGTACTGTTCAAGTGTGGATGTACAGGAAAAACAGTGAATGTAGGGTTCAGTACTATCTCCGGTTTCAGGCATCCAATGGGAATCTTGGACTATATCTCCTATGGATAAGGGCGATTGCTGGACTTGATAAATGGATACCTCTTTCCCATTGATTTGGCCCTAATTGTTCTGTTCTGGTGGCTGTGGATGGGAGAGGTGTCCTGGCTGGGAAGGGAGAATTAGTTTTTTTCAGTGCTGATTATTACTGTGTTTTCTTTCTCCTCCTCCCCGTGTTCCCTCCTCTCACACCTGTTTGGATCCCATCCCACTCCTGAACCTGCCAGACACGGCCAACAAGGCGCTCCTGGCCCTGTTCACTGCGGAGATGCTGCTGAAGATGTACAGCCTGGGCCTGCAGGCCTACTTCGTGTCCCTCTTCAACCGCTTCGACTGCTTCATTGTGTGCGGGGGCATCCTGGAGACCATCCTGGTGGAGACCAAGGTCATGTCCCCCTTGGGCATCTCTGTGCTGAGATGTGTTCGGCTCCTGAGGATATTTAAAATCACCAGGTATTGCCCTCCACTCACGGGACTCGGGGAGATGTTGGCGCGGAGGGCAGGGAGGCAGAAAGGCCTGGGCGGGAGAGCAGCTGCTGTTCCCAGAGGGGTCCGGCGGCCCCATCAGGGAGGGAGCTTTGATTCACTTACATGGCGTATCACTTAGAAGTCCCTTTGACTGCTAGTACCAGAGACTCAGCTCAGTGCTGTAAGCAAATTAGGGATTTGCTCAGCCACATAAAGGAAGCCCCGGTGGCTTCAAGATGGCAGCGGGACCCGTCTCCTGGTTGCTTTGCCAGCCTTAGGCCTGCCTTCCACCCCAAGGTCACAAGGTGGCTCTTGGAGATTGAGCCTTCCTGTTGGAATTTGAGGCAAGCAGGAGCAGAACAACGGGGACACCCACCCCACTGAGCCAGCTGTCCCGGGAAATCTCCCCACACCTCTGTTCTCATGACCCCCCAGCTGTGAGAGACAGAAACGCGGCCTAGCAGGTGCAGGCTTGGCTCCGAGGTCCCTTAACTGAAGAAGGGCCGTGGATATTGTGCCACAGAGGGCTTTCATCCCTCCTTCCCCATGCTCGCCCCTCTGTCTGTCTGTCCATCTGCCAGGCTCTGCAGTGATTCTCATGCAGAGGATAAGCCGGGCAGGGGTCGGGAGTGGGAAGCATATTCTAGGACAATCATTTTCAACTGCATTTTGACCCATTTGTATTGGATCACACCATCATTTTAAACAGCTTTCTTGAGATGTAATTAACATACGAATAAATTCACCCCTTTATACAATTCATTTTTGTATGTATTCAGAGCGTTGCAACCATCAGCACTTTCTGGTTTTAGACCATTTTCATCACCCCTAAAAGAGACCCCAGACCCATTCCTCATTCCCCACCCCCCTCCCAGTAGCAACACTAACTGACTTTCTATCCCTTAGATCTGCCCACTGTGAGCGTTGACCTATGTGGACTCAGGCTGTGCATGGTGTTTAACTTCTTTCACTTGGCATGATGGTCTCCAGGTTCCCCCACTTGGTAGGATGGATAATACTCCATTCTTTTCTTGGCTGAATAACGTCCCATTGTATGGATATGTACCCCATTTGTGTATTCATTCCTCACTTGGTGGACATTTGGTTTATATCTGCCTTTTGGCTACTACGAATAATGCAGCTATGAATAACTGATGTTCTAGTTTTTGGTACGGATGTATGTTTCCATTTCTCTTGGATATGTGCTTAGCAGTGGACTATTCGGGTCATTTAGAAACTGTGTTTAAGGTTTTGAGGAACTCTCGCTTTTCATGAAAGAGCTAAATAGAGTAAGGAAGCATCAGAAGGCCTCACATGAACGCATGCATTTTTTCATCAAAATCTTTGAGATATATGTCTGAGTTGTAGTATAATATATATTTCTCACTGTGGGTTGTGGTCAGCCCATGTCAGAAGCACCTGGAAGGAAGCAAGCCCCTCTCCTGAAGAATCTGCTGTGGGGCCTGACTGACAGCAGGAGCGCGGAGGCCATCGTCGGGATTGTGTTAGAGGAAGGGGGTGGGTGGGTATCTCCCATTCAGGGCCCTGGAGTTAGGCAGATCCTGCTCAGAGTGTTCTGAATGTGACTGAGTGAGTCAGCGGGGCCCGTAAAACATCCCTAGGTTCTCAGCAAGCACCTCGCACACTTTGCTCCTACGGTGTTGTCAGGGGTCAAATGGGAAAATTATTTAGTGTTCACTTCAGGCAGAAGAGTGCCAGGCCGAGGAGACACACCCGGAGCATTTATTATTAATCTAATTGTAATTGTTATTATTAGAGAACACGGCCTACACATACACACTCTCTTACTTTTGTTTCTCTACCATGTAATACTGTGACAAGCCTGCTGGGGGACCTGGGAACAGGAGGGGAAGGTTTAGTACCAGACAATAGACTTAAAGTGTATGCAGAATTGAAATCCACAAGTTTGACACTCCTGAGCAACAAACCCCCCCCCCCCCAAAAAAAGAGCTCTTTATGAATGTCCTGAATATCTTGGCGTTTCAGAAAATTCTTGGTTTAGAATAAAAGTAGCAGAAATATAGTAACAATCATTGTTAACGTGCAGCAAGGCTGGCTCTGTGCCAGACAGTGTGATTGAACTCAAGTGCATTTGCTCTACTAATCCTCACAATTACCTGTAAGAGAGGGTGAGGATACACCACTATGATCATTATTCCCATTTTGCAGAGGAGAAAACTGTGCCTTAGAGTTAAGTCACTTTCCCAAGGCCACACAAACTGCTCAGGGGCAAAGCTGGGCCTGTGCACCAGAGGGTCATGGGTTCAATGCCCGGTCAAGGGCAGGTACCTGAGTTGCAGGTTCTTTCCCTGCCCCCCGTCAGAACCCGTGTGGGAGGCAACCATTGAAGTGTCTCTCTCACATCGATGTTTCTCTTCTCTCCCTCTTTCTCTCTTTCTCTTTCCCCCCTCCCTCCCCCCTTCCACTTTTTCTAAAAATCAATGGGAAAAAAATATCCTCAAGTGAAGATTAACAAAACCAAAAAAAGGCACCTCTGTGTGCCTGGCTTCTGGTTCTGTGCAGCTCATGACCATAAACTCAGAGTTGATGGCTAAACTGTCTTGTTGTCTGTGTCCCTGAGACAGAACTTAAGGGACTAGCATACTGATACTTGTTAGATAATTGCGGATTTTATTTTCTCCTCCTGGGGTCTGGTGATAGCTATTTTTAATTTGCAGTTTCTAGAACCTCTTAAATAATTCTCAACGTCCATGTGTTTGGGGGTTTTGTTTTTGTTTTTTGTTTTAATTCCTATATAAAAGAATTTTGCTTTTAGATATCGTCATAGCATCTTGAAGAGATTTAACATTCATTCTATTTTTAATCAATGATTTATCTATTTATAATCTGGAACTATTGCCAAGAAATTATTTTTTAACTGTGTCTTTATTGGAGAGCCTCCCATAGTTCCTCCATGAGAAGGATTAGTGTTATTTTCAGATCTCCATAAACCCTGTAAACAGAATAATTTCATTATCTATTTGGAAGCTTCGGCAGAGGCCATCATCTTCCTGTTTTCCAGTCTCCAAACCCTCTGGGGGCTTTTGGAAAACAACAAAAAGACTAACTATGCAGGGGAATCCCATGCTCCCTCTGAACCTTGTCCCCAGTACACTCCAGAGACCAAGAAAATGCCTACGACATGGCCTGGGGTGGGCACTGGGCCTTGAGGCGGGTCATCTGTGCATGGTCCTGCCACCAAACAAGATTCTGTTAAAATCTCTCGGAGAATACTTTGCGATGTCTCACTACTGGTTTCACAGTGTGTTCTGAATCAGTGATTGCGATTCTCATACTTAGTTGAACTTGTTAGGAGGTCTCATTAAGGACCCGCCTCTAGAGATTTTGACCAGCCAGTGGACAGTTCGGTGCTGGTGGTCCAGTGACTTCGCTTTGAGAAACACTGGCCTAATTTTCTGCTGCTGTCCTTTGTCCACTTTTTGCCTAAAAGGTGAACCTTTGTATATAATTGGAAACCTTGATTTCTTTCCCCCCCTCCCCTTACCCAAGGCTATGCTTTTTATTGATTTTAGCGAGAGAGGGAGGGAGAGAGAGAAACATTGATGTGAGAGAAAAACATCAATTGGTTGCCTCCATCCGTTTAAGGGTACTTGTATCTCTGTCCCTCTCCTGCTCTGAGTCTGTCCCCAGCTTGAGTCCTGTGGAATTCTCCCTTCTCTCCAATGACAGAAAGTGGCCTGAGCTTTGTTTGAACTGAAACTTTCATCTAGTGACCCTTTTCTTCAAATAGCTCAGGGCTGGCACCTTTTCATTCTAGGTACAGAGCAGAGCATCGCGCTTGCTCTAAAGGAAAGGCCTTCACAGTAATAATACCAATAGCTTTGGGTGCTTTGCAAACGCTCTACCCTATCTCCCCTCTGTCTCAGACAGGGCCGTAACTAAATTTGTCCTGAGAAGTAAAAAAAAAAATTAAAAAAGAAAGAAAAAGAAAACCTCCTTGTGTTGGTGGCAATGATCTATTGCTGGTGGCATGTTTATAAAGCAAATTTCAGTGTGTAGTGTGGGCTTCTGTACACCATCCTAAGAATGGGAGGGGGAGGCAGGCAAGGGGGAAAGGATTCAGTCATGTGAGAAAACCTGGGGAAGCAGGTTCATCGGTGAGGAGCTCGGCCTTGCCCTTGCCTCTCCTGCACCAGCCACAGGGACATCAGGACTCAAACCAGGAGCAGGCTCGGAGCAGGAGAGGGACGGAGGTACAAGTCCCCATGAACAGATGGTGGCAACTTAAACCCAGGGAGGCACAGGGGAGGTAACAAAAGTGAAGCCGGGGTTGGCAAGTGAGAGAATTCAGGTAACGAAGAAACTGGTCGGGTCAAAAGCCCTGACGTGCACCTGCTTCAAGGAGAAGGCAGTGGGCTGGGCTGATGGGGGTGGGTGGGCAAAGACACACATTGGAGGCAGTGACTCAGAGCCCCCGAAGGACCGAAAAGAAAAGTTGACCCCAAGGATGACTGTGCAGATGGAGTGTCTGGGGATGGGGTGGCGTGTGCTTCGGGGCTGCATCCCGCGACCTGGATGTGGACACAGGTGTGCGGTGCTCTGCAGGGAGGGCGCTGAGTTCTCCTGGGCTCCTCTCCGGGGTCCGGGACATTCACATTTGGTTCTGCAGCTGCTTGCTTTTCTCCAAAGCTCTTTCTTTTTGGGGTATGAGTGTGTGTTTCATAGTTTTAATGAATTAGGATAAAAGCCTCGGTTGATTGCGAGTATGCCATTAACCTCTCTAGCTCACCACCAGCTAATGTTCCTCCGAGACCCGTCATCGCCAGACCTCAGGCCATGGCTGTAATGGCCATCAAGAGCCAGACTGACGCTAAGGAGAGTGCCTGAGGAGCTGGAAGGGCTGCCCACCACTTTGCCTAAATGGTATTTCATGCCACCCTACCCAGAGGCTGCCCGGCCCCTCCATATCTCATCGGTATTAATGATGAGGAGACCCCCACACC